GAATTTTGCCAGGAAAAATGGATGAGTTCAAGGAGTCAAGAGTTGATGGGATGCTAGAAACATAGGATGATAGCCAACTGACTAAAATCAATGGATTTAAGTGAGTCTGTTGATGTCAGTGAGTCTACTTCAGAGTATGATTTAGTTGACTCCCACCCATGAGATAATTCAAGTGCAGACCAGGACGTAAGGATGTGGAGATGCTTGCTTTATATACCATTGGACTGTGTGAATTGCAAAACTACCTGCCTGGTGATAATAAATAAAATAATAATAATAATAATAATAATAATAATAATAATAATAATAGTAATATTTTATTTATACGCCACCCTCCCCGGCCAAGACCAGGCTCAGGGCGGCTAACACTGAATATAAATACGATAAAAACATAAAAAACAAACAAACAAAAACAGTTGATTAAAATATAAGTTAGAATACAGTTTAAAATGCAGCTTAAAATGCAGCCTCATTTTAGTGATAGCCCATAGATCAAAGCCATAAGGGGAGAAAACGTCGAATATTCACCAGGGCCAACTATCCATGCTGGTCCTACATGGGCCAGCAAAAAGAGCCAAGGAAAATTTATATACAAATCCCATATAAGGGGTTCCATCAAAAAAATAAAAATAAATGAGAGGGGAGGTTAGACTGAGTCCAGCCCAAAGGCCAGGCGGAACAGCTCCGTCTTGCAGGCCCTGCGGAAAGTTGTCAAATCCTGCAGAGCCCCGATCTCTTGTGGTAGGGCGTTCCACCAGGCTAGGACCAGAGCTGAAAAGGCCCTGGCCCTGATTAAGGCCAATCTAACCTCCTTGGGGCTCAGAACTTCCAAAGTGTTGTTATTTATGGAGCTTAAGGTCCTCCGCAGGGCATACCAGGAGAGGCAGTCCTGTAGGTACGAGGGTTCTAGGCCGCATAGGGCTTTAAAGGTCAAAACCAGCACCTTAAACCTGACCCTGTACTCCAACGGGAGCCAGTGCAGCTGATACAGCACTGGATGAATGTGATCTTGCAGCGAGGACCCCGTAAGGACCCGCTGGAGTTTCTGGGTCAGCTTCAAGGGCAGCCGCACTTAAAGTGAATTACAGTAATCAAGCCTGGAGGTGACCATCGCATGGATCACTGTGGCCAGATTGGGACCAGAAAGGTAAGGGACCAACTGCTTAATATGGAGGAGATGGAAAAATGCCGCCTTTGCTGTAGCTGCAACCTGCGCCTCCATAGAGAGGGAGGCGTTGAAGGTGTGTGTGTGTGTGATGAGGTTCCTTTCCTGCGTCTCATACTTAGGGAGCATTCCTGTATAATTTTATGAATGAGCTGTAAAATAGAGAAAAATATGATTACAAATGTCCTCAAAACTGTTGCAGAACATCAGCACCCTTTAAATAAATTTGCAGTCAATGTTCCTCTTGTAATGTTTGCCATGGGTGTTGTGAAAGGTGTTTCTACTTTGGCACATTACCGTTCTAAATTTGGAGATGTCTTCCCTCATTGGTGCACGGGTGAGCTATTCGCCTAATCTCTGTTGACACTCGTGGGTGTCACATGGAAATTGTAAGTCCCCGACACATTCCAAGAAGAAGACTTTCTGCTAGTGTCCTTTTACTTGGAGCTGGGAATTTCTTGACACTTGGTTTACATCTGCAAAGGGCTGTTTTGGAGGACCAATGTCCCAAATCCCAAACCATACACAAATATGGTGTTTTGAGGTGGAGAGTTTGCGAAACTCCAAACATATTTTGGAAGCCACTGACACAGCCATGGGAATGTTCCACTATCTTCCTTACATCATCTTTCCATTTAGTCAAATAACAGGGCGGCAGGGTTGCATGGAGACAGCCACAAAACCATAGTGACAGCATTGGCCCATCCCAAAGCATTCCCATTTATAGGGATACCAGTTACACACCTATGTTTGCAGCAAATTAGCAGTGTGGGTTTTTTGGTCTGGAATTGCTCTTTGCCAGGATGTGGGATTTGTACTGAGCAGAATCATCCTTTTGCTGAAACGGACAACCTCCAGTGCTTTCTCCTGCAATTGCCAAAACACCTCTTCCTCTTATAACTACACATAATACTGTCATAAGATTGGTGGGTTGAGCTGGATGGCCTTTCAGGGACCCTTCCAACCTTGTAATTCTGTGGCTGATGAAAAGTGCCTGCTAAAATGGTAAAAAACAGTTGGACAGAAGATTGCCCCATTAGGCCAGGCCTAGCCTGGTAAACCTTCTCTGTTATGGAAATTGGACCATTAGGGTGCAATAGTTGGCCTTTTCAATACATCTTTCCATCTCCCCTGGCTGTGAATGATGTCATCAAGCAGTCTGTGTGTGTGTGTGTGTGTGTGTGTGTGTGTGTGTCAGTGACAGTTAGAAGGAGAGTGAAGGCAATGTGAGAAAGTCAGATTTTTGTCTTTGTAAAAGTTTCTTGGAGGTACTAGCTGTTCACCTAGGAATCTGAAACAGCAGTAGTGAGTTTGGTAGATCTGTCAAAACATTAAAGCTGTACCTCCACTTGCACTTAATCATCATATCTGTAAATCTATTGGCTGTTTTATTTTTTGATTGTCTTTATTTAACATCGCCTTGAGATGGTTGTTTAGAAGGCGATTAATAAATAAATAATGATGATAATAATAATAGTTTTTGCTGTTGTTGGCATCCATCTGTCTTGTGAGACAGTAGTGTGCCTCCTTTTGAATTATGGTGCTGGAGGAGACTCTTGAGAGTCCCATGGACTACAAGATCAAACCTATCCATTCTTCAGGAAATCAGCCCTGAGTGCTCACTGGAAGGGCAGATCATGAAGCTGAGGCTCCAATACTTTGGCCACCTCATGGGAAGAGAAGACTCCCTGGAAAAGACCCTGATGCTGGAAAAAATTGAGGGCACAAGGAGAAGGGGACAACAGAGGACGAGATGGTTGGACAGTGTTCTCGAAGCTACCAGCATGAGTTTGACCAAACTGCGGGAGGCAGTGGAAGACAGAAGTGCCTGGCGTACTCAGTGGCGTAGTGTGGGTTGTCAGCACCCGGAGCAAGGCAAGTAATTTGTGCCCCCTAACCCGTGGATTTGCGCCCCCTAACCCGTGGATTTGCGCCCCCTAACCCTAACCCCCAGATGTTGCGCTCGGTGTGGCCGGCCCCCCCTGCACCCCCCACGCTACGCCACTGGGCGTACTCTGGTCCATGGGGTCATGAAGAGTCGGACACGACTAAACGACTAAACAACAACAACAAGTGTGCCTCCAGGAGTGAAATCAAACTGCAGGAGAACCACAGAGCCTGCTGTGTCTGCAGAGACCAGCAACTCATACCTGCTGCCTCCTGCATTGTTTTTTTGCTGTGTTAGCAGCACCGAAAGTGACCTCTCTGGGTCACAAGCTTGGGCTACATTTGCTGAGATCCTGGGCTGTCCAGATGACAGGACACTCCTCTCAGCCTCGCTGATCAAAGGAAAGCAGAGCAATATATTTGGCAGTGAGTTTCATGACTGAATGGAGATTTGAACCCTATTCTCCCCAGTCCTAGTCTGACACTTTATCCACTGTGCAATACTGGCTCTGCACTTCTGAATTTGCCACTGAATCCTATACTCCTGCCACCCCACCAACCTCCCTTCTATTTGCCCCTCTCCTTCCTGCTAAGTGACCCACCTGCCAAAAACCAACTTGTGAGCTGCTTTTGGTTTAGAACTGGAAGTAAGGGAGCAGGAGGTGGGAAAGCAGCCTAACAAACTCTCTCTTAACTCTGGAGCATCTCACATAACGAATAGTTCTAGTATTATTTTTTATTACCAATAGTAGCAGCAGCAGCAGGAGGAGGAGTATACAATGGGCACAACAAACCACTCAGAAAGGACTTTGTTCAGATTTGCAGGTCGAGCGGTTTGCATAGCTGTGGACTTTTTTTGTTTTTTTGCCCTGCCCCAAATTGTGGGGGGCGGGGGCGGTTGCGTTTGCTTCCTTCAGCTATTTAAAACATAAGCTTGCATGAAATCAATTTGGATTCCTTGTGGATGAGGTAACAGGCCTTGGACCAAGTTTAGTTTCAAAATATGTTCTAAGGTGATTCAAAGAAGACTGGAAATTTCCCCCTAAAGCGGGGGAGGACATTCTAATCCCCAGTTGGTATATGGGTTACTGGTGCCTGCTCTGCACACTGGTTGCAAGAGCCCGCCAAAGTGGAGCAGTTAAAAAACCCCACCTCATTTATTTTGCCATAAGACAAATGAGTAACTGCTTAATTCTTCTCTGAAAAATCAACAGGAGGGAGAACAAGAATTAATCTTAGCAGGATTGTGGCCATAACGCTTTATTTACTTGCATGTTTATATTAAAATTTATATGCTGCTTTTCAGCACTGTAATATGCAATTGTATTAAGATGGACACAACAGAGGGAATGTGTTTGCATAGACTTCTATTCTTACCTGAGGTAGCCCTACTCAGGGTAGACCCACTGAAGTTAGTGGGCATAACTATCCAAAGTCAATTGATTTCAATGTGTCTACTCAGAATAGAATTATAGCTGGGTTCCACACTTTGTGTGCTCAGTTTCTGACCTTCTAACTGTTTCCAGCTGCAGCCTTACTAGTGTTGGCCAAAACGTTTTGCTGCCTTATCGCAGGACACGTTTTGGCCAAGCAAAAAAAGCTGAGGAGGGTGCTGAGTGGAGCCTAGAAGAAGAAGAAGAGTTTGGATTTGATATCCCACTTTATCACTACCCGAAGGAGTCTCAAAGCGGCTAACATTCTCCTTTCCCTTCCTCCCCCACAACAAACACTCTGTGAGGTGAGTGGGGCTGAGAGACTTCAGAGAAGTGTGACTAGCCCAAGGTCACCCAGCAGCGGAGACGCGAACCCGGTTCACCAAATTATGAGGATACCACTGTTAACCACTACACCACACTGGCCTAGGCTTGGAGGGCCAATTTTCATAGAATCACAGAATTGGAAGAAACCACAAGGGTCATCTAGTCCAACCTCCTGCAATGTAGGAATCTTTTGCCCAACTTAGGGCTCAAACCCACAACCCTAAGTTTAAGTGGCTTATGCTTTACCAACTGAGCTATGTATGTCAATCTCCCAGGCTTACAGTTCCCCATTCCCATACCTTCCAACATTTTTTCCAATGAAAATAGGGACTTCCCATTCCATAATAATAATGTTGCTATTTATACCCCACTCATCTGACTGGATTGCTCCAGCCGCTCTGGGCAACAGAGCTTCCAACATATATAAAAACATAATAAAACATTAATATTTTTTTAAAAAATCTCTTCCCTATACAGGGCTGCCTTCAGACAGCTCGGGGTTTGGATGACTCCATACCCTCCAACATTTCTCTGATGAAAATAGGGACGTCCTAAGGAAAAGCAGGACATTCCAGGATCAAATCAGAAACTGGGACAGCTTTTCTAAATTGGGGGCTGTCCCTGGAAAATAGGGACACTTGGAGGTTCTGCATTCCTGCCTTAGCCAAAGTCTTCTTCTTTTGCGATCACTCGTAGCCGAGTAAGATTGTCTTCCATAAACACGGTTTTAACAATGGTCCATAAGTGACTGTGGAGGCCAATTCTGGATTCACACGTCCTTCCACAGTGGGGACATTGGTTTCTGGGTGGGAATTTATCACAGTATGGATTTGCCAAGTGTGCCTTCCTCTTAGCACCACTGTGCCTCTTGGGCTTGCTGACCAGAAGGCCGGTGGTTTGAATCCCCGCAATGGGGTGAGCTCCCAGATCCTGCCAATCCAGCAGCTTGAAAGCACACCAGTTCAAGTAGATAAATAGGTACCACTGTGGTGGGAAGGTAAACGGCATTTCCGTGCACTCTGGTTTCTGTCACCACATCCCGTTGCACCAGAAGCGGTTTACTTATGCTGGCTACATGACGCAGAGAGCTGTCTGTGGACATACGCCGGCTCCCTCAGCCTGAAAAGCAAGATGAGTGCCACAACTCCAAAGTCGCTTTTGATTGGACTTCACCATCCAGGGGTCCTTTACCTTTACCTTTTTACCCCATGTCCTGTATGTATAAAGCACTATTATTTCACTTTAACAGTCAGAGCTTTTCCCAGGAATCCTGGAAACTGCACTTTGTTAAGGGTGTTGACAGTAGTTAGGAGACCAGAGTGGTTTAATTCTCTTCCCAGGGAATTCTGGTGATTGTAGCTCCCTGAGGGGAATGGAGGTCCCTTAACAATTCTCAGCACCTTCAACAAACTGCAGCTCATTCATTCAGGTGGTTGTGACTGTTCAAAGTGGCATACGGGTGCTTTAGATGTCTGGTGCAGAAGTGGCATAAAAAACAGGGCTGAGGCCTGTGATGCTTTCTTTGGGTGCCTTGAGCAGAAAGAGCCCAAGTCCTCTGGATGAAGTGGGGAGAGGGCTGGGTGGTCTTCGTGCATAAGGAAGAGCAGGTTTTCATGGAGCCCCAAGGCAGTTTACATAGTAAAAAAGAAAAAAGAAATACAGCATTTGAACACACCAACCAAGCAGACAAAAATTACTGACTTGTATGGGACCAAAGGCTTGTTGGAACATGTGAGTGACTCAGGCAAGGCAAGGCAAGAAGCAAAGAGGCTAGGCAGGCACAGAGTTGGCCTGGGCCCATTCCCCTTTGCCAAAAAGCACTCCGGAGTCTGTCACCCACACCACAACTATCGGAGACACCAAAGTGTCATGCCACTGGGATTGCTGGATGCAGCCCCCCCTCCCCCTGTTTCATTTTGGGGGTTTTTAGATTTGTTTGCGCAAGGTTTCAACGAAGCAGAGATCTTAACAGTCAAGAAAATAGTGTGTTTGGAACGAGAAGAGAACAAAGATACAATCTTATAAGATCCTTACTTCACAATTTACAATGGAGCTATTGACATAACGTTATGGTGCAATGTTTTTCCAAAAGCCCTAATCTTGCAGAGCAAAGAAAACAAAACAGTATACTTGGAAATGGAAGAGAGCAAAACAACCATGTTACCAGGCTGATAGTGAAACTCCTACAAATGAACTAATAATGTAAATAATTGTAAAACTCCCACATGCTCGTTGTTTAACAAACCAGATACCACATAAATTTGGAAGGCAATTTGTGGGTCATCAAGTCCAACCTTTGTATGTAAAAGTTCTCAAGACTTGCAATCCCCAGAAGATGCTCTACCAGCAATTTCTTTCTTGCCCATTAATGTATTAATCTCCCTATGCTAAAGAGAGTGCCTGGGCAGTCTAGAAATGATCCCTTCCCGATCACTGTGTTTGGAGCAAAGAAGATACACTGAACATCTCTTTGTACACTAACAACATCTTTCTAAACATGTTCAGAAACAGAAAGAGTGGAGAGAGCAGTGTGAGTGTGGACTGCGGCCTGCCCTGAATTCCCCAAGCTAGCCTGCTACCCTCAAGTGGAGGGCAATGTTCCATTGCCAGTGTCAAAGTACAATTCAGCTGCCAGGCTGGTAGACTTTTGTTGAATGGAGAGACCTCTTGTCACCTACTCTTTTGCCTCAGGCGGCAAAATGCCTTGAGCCAGCTCACAAGTAAGATAGCTACTAGCCATAATGACTATGGTCTGTATCCACGGTTAGAGACCAAATGCCCCTCAGTGCCAATTCTTGGGAATCACAAGTGGGGAGAGTTCTGCTGTGCTCAAGTTCTGCTTGCAAGCTTCTCAAGGGCACCTGTGAGAATAGGATGCTAGGCTGGATGGGCCAATGGCCTGATCCATCAGACTCTTTTTATGTTGTATAGTTGTAAGTCCTATTTGTACTTACGGGACTGCCTCTCCTGGTCTGCCCCACAGAGGACCTTAAGGTCCATGAATAACCATAGTTTAGAGGTCCCGGGCCCTAAGGAAGTCACACTATCCTCCACCAGGGCCAGGCTTTCAGTGATAGCTCCGACCTGGTGGAATGCTCTGTCCCATGAGACTAGGGCCCTTCAGGATTTAATCTCCTTCCGTCGGGCCTGTGAGACAGAGCTATTCCACCTGGCCTTTAATTTGAATTCAGCCTGATCTTTTATTTCCCTTCTCTTCCCTCCCCCTCCCCTTTTATGAAGATCACCCGCTCTGAGACCCCACAGCTAATTCTCCCCTGGCCTCCTCGCTGGCCCAAGTAGGACCAATTCAGCCAGCTAGCCCTGGGGATTATCTAATTGATTTTTGAATTTTGAATTTTATTGTTATTCATGTTTTTATACTGTATTTTATGCTGTTTTTATAATTAAATGTTTTAAAGTGTTTTAAATTTGTTGTTAGCCACCCTGAGCCCAGTTTTTGAACCAGGAAGGGTGGGGTATAAATAAAAAAATATTTATTATTATTAAATTCAGTGGGTAGACCTGGCCTCTGAGAGGGAGAGTGTGGGAGAGAGAGAGATGCAAATAGATTATTAGTAGACCCAATCTTCCCAGGAAAAGAAGGGGATTAGGTTGCAGCCCAAGTCCCTTTGAAAGCAATAGGTCTTACTTCAGAATAAAGATTGTGTCATAAATAGCACATCCTTTAACCGAATGGAACCTAAGTCATTAAAAGTTTGGGGTTACTCATTGCTTTTATTAGTATTATTTCCACCACTTGGTGCTCCAAGCAACATGCAATGGACAAAATCTACATTAAAATTTGCAGCTACCATACAATGTAACCCAGTAGCAGAGATACAATAAAACCAGAGAGCAATTAAAATTCTATTAAATTACAAAGCATCGGCAATAAAGTTCCCTTCCTTAGCAGTAATCTCTGAATTAGTAAAGAGGGATGGATTTTATATGCTGATGGAGGGATCAGGTCCACTTCTTTCTGTGGGGTCCCTCCAAAGTCTAGGCAGAGCACCAAGAATGCTCCATGCCATGCCCTTAGAGCAGGGGGTGGGGAATCTTTGTGGCCTGGTGAGTCAGATCCTTATCTGTTCCCACTCCCGAGGGCCAACTTTGACGCACTGACCCCAATCAAAATGCCTTGCAGAGCTCTGTCCAGGCACCCAACAGCCAGCTAGTTGTTGAGCACTAGGGAACGATGGTGCGAGGGGCTTTGCCAGCCCTATGCATGTCAAAAAGCCACATGTAGGGCTTTCAAAGTTGCTTTCTGAAAGGATCAGCTGTGCAATCAAATTCACCACAGGGAACTCAGTCACGTAGCCGATCCAGCATGGTTGAAGTCAGTGTGCAACACAGTTGATAGGGCTTCAGCTATGCTTTCTGCAGGGATTGGCTTTATGATTGTGTTCCTCGAAAGGAATTCCATTGTGCAGCTCAGCCAACTGTGCCTCTACCTGCCCCATATCTGACATTGCATACCATGGCCCTGGTTTGGGGAAAACGGCCTCACGAGTCAAACTGGGATTCTCCCTTAGAACAAAAAACAAAAGTTATGTGAATCATGGTGGCCCCACATAGTCTCATTGCCTGGGAAGGCTCCCATGAGAAGAAGGTGCCTCCTTACAGATATCATTCTGGGCTTTAAGACTAAGTGGATGTGGGCACTGATTTGGGCTCAAAAACTAATGGGAAGCCAGTGCAGAAGGGTCAGAGCAGGTATGGTGCTCCCCCAGCACTTTTTGTTGTGGGGGGAGACGTTTAACAAATTGCCTTGTTCCATACCAGCTATACAGAAGGACTTAAAATAAGTGTACACAACACTTCCAGGTGCTTTGTTGGTACACCTCTCTGGCTTTCTGTGTTTCATTGAAAGCTGGGGGGAAGGTATTGTGAAGTAGCTTCTCCCTTGGGGCCTTTTTTGGATCAGAAGGCACAGGCAGCTAGGGAGGCTGCAGAGCACTGCAGAATTGTTTAGCGTAAAGAGAAATGTGCACAACGGGGGGGGGGGGGACGACAAATGTGTCAAGTCCCAGTCTTTCTCATTTCCCCCCAACTTAAATTCAGTTCTCTTTATTTCTACAATAGTTTGCTATTTTTTATTTTTTTAAATCCCAATGAAAATTAATCAACAGCTTAATGAAAAAATTATTCTAAAAATACATTTTTATTTGCAGTTTTTACTAATTGACACATTTTGGTAACATGTAATTCCCCCTAATGTTTTCTCTGGGTTATCTCTCTCTCTCTCTCTCTCTCACACACACACACGCACACACACACACGAAGGAGATGTGTTGCCATGCTTGCTTGGGAAATGCCCACATCTGCAAATGACTTCTCTGCATGCAGGGAACAAACCTTTCTGAAACACAAATTATCAACTCCAACGTCCACTGTCACCCTCACTCTATTCTCACGGAGAACAAGCCACTTCTTTGATAAAGCTAACCTAGAATCTAGCACCTTTTCTGAATACAAGGAGCATGCAAGAGTAGTTTTAGATTTATTAATTTTTTTAAAAAATTGCCCAGAGTGCCTTTGTAGAGTACTCAGGGGGCAACTGAGGTGAGATCAGAGCATTTTGAAAAGGAGCATTCTTGGGAAAGTGCAACAGATGGCAAATTATTGATTAACTGTGGAGGTTGTCCCAAGGATGGGATAAGTAGAGAAGGAACCAGAAGTGGGATGTTGGCCAGCTGTGGAGGCCGTGTGGTGGATTGCTTCAGTTTCTGAGGAGGCGAGAGAATGGGGAATTCCAAGAGGAATTGAAACGTGGGAGAAAGAAAGAGGGGAAGGGTTTTTACCTTGATGCTAAGGTTCACTGCTCCTTCTGTGTTCAGATGGAGCATGAGAAAGCAAATATAACTCATAAAATGGCACCCAACACAAGGTTTAGTGCATGTGTGCTGGCCTGCAAATGGCTGAACTCACAGCAGTTATGTCACATAGAGAAAGCACAACACTCCAGGTAGTGAAGGAAGTCAATTCCTGGGTGTAGCTAACAACGAAAGAGCAACAATTGGGAAGAGACAGGAACCACCTATCTCAAAGCAGGCTAAGTCTTGCTATGTTTATCACAGTAATACTTTTTTCTAGAATCCCCCAAAGTTTGGGATTTAGAGTAGAATGTCTACCACCCGGCTAAGCTAACGAGACACCAATTCTTGGTGGACTTCATGGATATTTGAGGAGAAAAGAGACTCACTTTGTTCTGGACAGATCCAGCTGTTGAGACTCTCAGAATGGGGACCTAGACTTTATCTGGAGTTTGAAAGCTTCCTTTTAAAAATCACTCAGAATCTTAGGCCTCTTCATATCTAGACAATAAGTGCAATCATTGAAAAGATTAGGAAGTGAAAGAAGGTTGGTTGTTTAATGATTTCATGAGACCCCTCACTAATATATTGAGTGTTGATTCTTCCTTGTCCATTTAAACATAGGGTTTGGGTGGGAAACTTTCAAGTGCACTTTTCCCTGGTATTCCAGGTTCTTACTAGCTTACTGTTCCAGACAAAAAAGTAGCCTTTTGAGTCATGAGTGGATGTACAAAATGGCAGAAGATTAGACATTTCTCCAGTAACAGATGTGACACTACTTAACTTGGTAGAAACCAAACAACTCCTGAGTCAAGGGTGGGGGACTTGTGTCCCTCCAGATTGTATTGGATTCCAACACACATCAGCCCCAGCCATCATGGCCAATGGTCAGGGATGATGGGCATTGGAGGCACAAAGATTCCCCATCTCTGTCCTGTATAATGTAGTTGCAGCCTTACAAACACATAGGATACTTCTACAATGATGTCTTCTTCCCATATTTTGGGCATGTTTCCCATTCGCTTTTGGTGACATTTAAGCCCCCCACCATTTTTTAAAGCAAGAACAATAATTTTAGATTTCTTTCATCACTCGAGTCTGTTTTATCACATGTCATGAAGACATTTCAGGACTAATGCATGTAAATGATTCCAAAGCATGATTTGCAATTAGCATACCGAACTAGTTTCCCACCAAGTCTGATAATTAAAAGCCTCAAATATAGCTGCAACACCCATGCTCCCAGGATGAAAAACTACAGTTAAGAATCCCTTAGAGCCATTATGTTTATGCATGCTCATGGATTTCTAATTGCAAACAAGACTATGTATTGATTATTTGCCAACTTAGTTTGTTGCTGTGCTCCATGTTTCCCATGCACGTTATTAGCATTTGTTATGAAAAACAGTTGGTGGAACTGACGTCCTTCCTTTGCGACCTTCTTTTTATAGCAGCAGGAATTTCATCTTATAAAATGTGAAATCATGCTCTACTCCAGCTCAGTATAATGTTGCAAACGAGGCTGATGAATCTGTGTTTTTAAGTGTGTGCGTTCATGTGTGTTGCTGGTTCACAAAAGTAAACCAGACATCACTACCCACTGAACCAATATGCAGAAGTGAAATCCAAAAGGAGATGAAGAGTAGTTTGGATACTGTGCATCGTGACTCTAGGATTTCTGAACTGGAAGGGGAATTGTCTGCAAGATAAGCCCATGGCTCCTGGGCCCAGGGATGTTGCACTGAGGACTCCATTACAGAAACTCCGGTACAATCAGGTTCTCCACTGCTCCACTGAAGTAAAAGGTTGCTGGGGTGAGCTAGACTTCTTTAACTGAAGGGACACCTTTCAGTAAAGGTGAAGCTTATAACTGAGATAAAACATAGCCTGAGCCCTTCAAAAGGCCTTGTCTTAGGGCCCACATCATGGCACTGGTAGCAGAAGGGGCATGCTTTCTTGGCAAAAGATGGGAGCTATTTCTGGATTCTGGCAGCTGGGCATATTAGGCACCAGCTCTTGTGAAACTTTAGAAGACTCCAGGAGTTCATGGGGTGGAAACACTGGGATATTATTAAAGGTTCAGGTTAGCACAGGACGTCACATTAGGTTGGTGCTTTATATGAGGAGGAATCCCACATGAGGGCAAGCAGGCTCTCTTTGGAAAACTAAGTGATAAAGCAACCTCTGCTACGCAAAGGTGGAACTAAATGTTAAGAAAATACAGGGTTGTGAGCTCAAACAGTAGCTTCTAGTTTTCTCCCATAATTTGCAATGCAAGTTACCCTGTGGTGTGATAGCATTATAATATGCATTTCTACATTGACAGCAGGGGCAGTCAGCGATGTTGGCTGCAGTGAGAAAGCACACAGTACAATTGTACTAAATGTTATGGAGAAGGCAACTCAACATAGAGCTTTCATTTTTGCTACCGATGCTATTTTGTACTTAGGGACAGCGCACTAACTAAGCACTGATTCCTTAGCCACAGCTCAGGCATCCCCTCTACTTTTCTTCTTTTGGATTTGTGGAAACCCTGCTGTTAGCCAGTATTTGGATACCTGTTACAAGGCTGGATAGCTCAGTCAGTAAAGCATGAGACTCTTAATCCCAGGATCATCGGTTTGAGCCCCACATTGGGTGAAAGATTCCTGCATTGCAGGGGATTAGACTACCTGACCCTTGTGGCCCCAGCCCACTCTACAATTCTATGATTGTCTGGTTTCCCATTTTTCCAATCTTAAATTCAATTATCCACATTTCTGCAGACATATATAGATTTCATCTCTCTCCCTCTTACACACACACATATGACCGCATGAATTTTATCAGCCCTTTAGTGAGAATTTCTCCCAATATACACACTTTGTGTGCAATTTTGCCTAATATATTCATTTGCATGGGGTTGGACTAGATGATACTCATGGTCCCTTCCAGCTCTACAATTCTATGATTCTGCAAAACAATTTCACCTAACATAGTGCACTTTTGTATATTATTTCAATAGCATACACACTTTATCCTCATATATGTACACATTGTAGATGGTGACAGCAGCCACGAAATTAAAAGACGCCTGCTTCTTGAGAGAAAAGCAATGACAAACCTAGACAGCATCTTAAAAAGTAGAGACATCACCTTGCCAACAAAGGTCCGTATAGTAAAAGCTATGGTTTTCCCAGTAGTGATGTATGGAAGTGAGAGCTGGACCATAAAGAAGGCTGATCGCTGAAGAATTGATGCTTTTGAATTATGGTGCTGGAGGAGACTCTTGAGAGTCCCATGGACTGCAAGAAGATCAAACCTCTCCATTCTTAAGGAAATCAGCCTTGAGTGCTCACTGGAAGGACAGATCCTGAAGCTGAGGCTCCAATACTTTGGCCACCTCATGAGAAGAGAAGACTCCCTGGAAAAGACCCTGATGTTGGGAAAGATGGAGGGCACAAGGAGAAGGGGACGACAGAGGACGAGATGGTTGGATAGTGTTCTCGAAGCTACCAGCATGAGTTTGACCAGACTGCGGGAGGCAGTGGAAGACAGGAGTGCCTGGTGTGTTCTGGTCCATGGGGTCACGAAGAGTCAGACATGACTAAACGACTAAACAACAACAACAATGTATACATTACTTGGAGAATCGTATTGCAAAATTTGGAGAAGTATGGATTTTGAAGGATGGGTATGTTTTGGTTTGTATATTGTTTCAGAAAGTGACAATTTGGTAGGTTTGCCTTTAAAAGCAAATCCCACCCCTGATTTCTACCTAGTATGGACCTCTGTATGGCCCACTTGATAAGCTTGTTATGTTACCAACATGTGTTCGGAGCCCAAGATCAGTATTCCACACACAACACGAGCCTCTTGTTTTTCATAAGATCTAATTCCTCCCTGAAGCTACAAATTGTCCACAGTCACCCTCCCATGTTGAAACATCTTTGTCATCTGGTAGTATGTGCATGTGTGGTTCCACTTAGCTATGCAAACTTATATCCTGGTATTAGCAGCCATGAGAAAAGGACCTAGGATAACAGAGAAAAGTTAGCCTCACTGATGGAATGCAAAGGACTATCAAAATGGCCTCACCTCTGCAACATTTAAGCCACCTTGTAAAAATGATTGCTTTCAAAAGAGAGCAAAGGAGCCTTTGAAATATAACTGTCAAGAGCTGCAGACCGTGTACAATAGCTTTTACAAGATAAATCTTTTGTACCCACCCTCAAACAGTAAAGTCTTCCCTTCCAGGTGAACATCATTCTGATGTTTTGCAGACTTTATCATCTCAGAAGGGGTGGCCATGTCTGGAAACTGCATTCTGTTCTGTTAGAAAACCAAAAGGTTAGAGAATTCCCTTTTCTTTAAGTAATGAAATTTAAGGCACCCTACACAAAACCCCAGGATATGTCTACTTACAAGTTGGCAAGCTTTCTCCATTCTGCAGGTACTAGAATGATGGCAAATTTCAGCCGCTTTGTCCCAAAGGTGAGAACGCTATAGCCATTTTTAGATGCCCCATTATAGTGCATAGGGAACACAGATATTTGTTTTCTAGAGTGTGGCTTCGAATCCAGAGCACAGATCAACAGTGAGATTGCACAGAGCAACTCAAAAACAGGCTAGGATTTTTAAAAACACAGAAAAACATGAGACCTGTCTTGGAACACTCCAACTGCATACTGTAAAACTTAGCGCGAGTGGGGGATTTAGTTTGGTCTGCATTTTAAAGCGAATTGGCCTAATTCACCAGTCCTGGACTCCTATGGAGATTGGAATGCAGCTATAAATCGGATTGTATGCTGAATTTTGTAAAGCAGTTTTGATTCCAAAATGTGTGCACAAAAATGCAGATTTTAAAGTTAAAAATTGTTTACAAAAATGCATCGCTTGGGAGAAAGTCCACAGAAAAGCACATATAAATGCATATATTAGGAACTGAATTTAATTTAAATGCAAAGGATAATGTTCATATCGTTGTTTTTAAATCTGCAGGAAACAGGATGGAATGAACTTCTAATGGAATGCGTGAGAAACTGACACGGAAAGGAAATAGTCTCTTCTGTCTACCCCTAGAAAGACTTTTCCTTTCTGCCATGGTCCTTGGCTGATGCAACTGCAAAATTAATCTAAACACCAACATTAAACAGGCTGATCATGCACCAATTATCACCATTATCAATAATTGTAACGGTTGGGGGGGGAAATATTATCAGATGGTGCTGTTGGCTTTGTTTGCTCATTTATATTTCCCCCCTAGGTTTAACTCAGGTTTAAACTTGCATTAACAAGCCCTCTGTCCCAAACTAGCTTTCCGCTCAGGGCATTTCCAGGCTGACGTGTTACAAAGCAGGGTTTTACAACTTTTTAACTGGGAGATTTTATCTCTTCCCAGTGAACCTTGACTCACAGTTTTAGTGTTGCAAAGTCCCCACAAAAGATGTTTAATATTGCAGTACTGTATTTTATTTTACTTTTGTTCTGTGGAAATATTTTACACTGTCTTAGAGATTATCTCCAAATCTTCTCTAAGGTTTAGGGGAAGCCTAGTTCACAGACCTGCAATTCTCAGAGTATTTTGATTTTCTCTCTTCTCTCTATGCTCAAAAACTCCACATTAATTAATCCAGACTAATTAAACACTTTCAGGATTGGGACAAAGAGGTCAAATCCGAACCCATGACGATGTATGGAAAAGTTTACATACAGTTTAATGTGAAATGTTGATGCACTCTCCATTTTTCCTGTTGAAGTTAGAGTTGTTCTTTTTCACCAGACTGTTATTTCAACAGACTGCTGTTTATTGGACCCTTACAAATGCAAATGTGGGTCATCCATTTAATACATTATGGTGCACAGAATTGGGGTTCTATATTTTTCAAAGAAGAATAAAGCTATATGTGGGACTTTTTTTTTAAGGACACGGGGCAGTTTTCATGCAAGATGTTACAGTCCCATGAATTGAAATAACACTCTTTTTTCCCCTTTTCTTTTTTGCTATTTGAGTCTGAAATATATCATAACATATTGATCCAGTGAAGAGCCATTTTTTGAAAAAGGAAAAAAAAGCCTTCCCCACCAAAAAGGAAAATAAAACATAACCCTTCAAAGGAGTGTGTTGTTTCGCTTAGGGCAACTATCCACACCAGGAATGACTGAAGGCTCCTCTTTCCTAAACTCAATGAGACAGGTGAATCCCCAGAGAAGTGACTAGCCAGTGGCTAAATAGAACCTGTCGGGCTTTCATGCAAACTTCCTCTACATGTTTTTTTGCGGCTTCCAAGCATATGGTACAGTTTATTAGTATTTGCATGCATAAAGAAAATGACGGCGGGGAAGGAGGAGAGCAATAATATTTATTCTTCAGTGATATTTTCTAGATAAATATTTATTAAGTTGACACAGAGGCTGATCCTGTGCATACAGCTGAGACCAGCAGCGCAGAGCGGTTTGATATGTAGCCTCATGGCTACACACACACACACACACACACACACACCCCATTAGGAATCAAGAAGAGTCCTTGCAGGGTTGCCAGACCCCTGGGCAAAACTGACTATGTAGCTAAGGTGCTAGTTTTCCAACTCAGTGCCGGCCTACGCTATTTTGCTGCCTAAAGTTAAGCACAAATGGCCATCCCTTTCTGGGAACAGAGGGAAGAAATTTAGTTCAGTTTGCATTTGAAAGTGAACTATCAAATTCCTATTCTTTCTAAAAATGATATGCAGTGGTACCTCGGGTTACATACGTTTCAGGTTACATACGCTTCAGGTTACAGACTCCGCTAACCCAGAAATAGTACCTCAGGTAAAGAACTTTGCTTCAGGATGAGAACAGAAATTGTGCTCCAGCGGCACGGCAGCAGCAGCCCTATTAGCTAAAGTGGTGCTTCAGGTTGAGAACAGTTTCAGGTTAAGAACGGACCTCCGGAACGAATTAAGTACGTAACCCGAGGTACCACTGTAAATCGAAACACAACCATCTGTTGAAACACACACTTATCTGAATTTTGCAATGCAATTCTCCAGCCAAACAATGCTTACAAAACTGCAGATGTTGAAAACAATATGAGAGAAATACATTATATTTGGGGAGATTGCTTGCAAAGCTGTGTGTGTTAGTCCAAACTATATACAAAAACGTGTTTATTGGGGGAAATTTACACTAAAATGTGACTGAATGTTTGTGAGGATTTAAGAAATAAACAAATCACACATTGTTGCATTGTAGAGAATTCAATTTCAGTTTAGAAAAATGGGGAACTGAGAACTGAAGTGGATGGATCGTTCCATCTCTAGCTCGGCCCAAAACTATCTATCATCTATCTATCTATCTATCTATCTATCATCTATCTATCATCTATCTATCTATCTATCATCTATCTATCTATCTATCATCTATCATCTATCTATCTATCTATCTATCTATCTATCTATCGATCTATCTATCTATCCTTGTTGCACAGTTAGTTCAGACACCAATTCTTACCTTCACCTACTTCCTTGGTCCCTATAGTACCACCAGAAGCAGTTCATTTCACTTTGTTGCATGATAAAGTGTACAAATCCTTTCCTTACTGCACAAATCTACAACTGTCAGCTCTGGAAGCCTGAAGGATTGTCTTCTTCCATATAAGCTGTCCTAAATATTAAGAA